AGTCGACCTCTTTGTGAGGAATTGACACGAGGAGTGCCCAAGATTCTCCTGGCATGTTTTTTAACAGGCTGACATTTTAATTTAAACCTTTAGAAGTAATATACTCCCTGGGTTACTACAATGAGGTGGGTTTTTTTTTTTTTTTTTGGCAGATGACAGCTTTTAAAATATTATTTCGCTAGGGAAATAAAAGCTTCATCTCAGATTATAGGTGGGTATTTTTGGATTTATGTGATTTATGGTCACCATGACAACTAATGCTGAATGTTAGCTACCAGCATGTCTGGGAGAGAGAAAACAGAAAGGAAGGAGAGAAATAGAAAGGGACGTGGACCTGAGCTAGAGAGGTGAGAAAAAGAGAAAGAAAAAGCAGCAAGTTCATCCAACTGTTTTTTTTTTTTAAAGTGATTTCAGTTATCCATTGCTACTTTCTTCCCATTGAGCTTGAATATCTATGCGTGTGTGTGTGTGTGTGTGTGCGTGTGTGTTCGTCCGCACTTGCACTCTACCCTTCTCTCTTACTTAGTTCCATGAATAGTTGCTTTTCAGAAATTGAATGAACACTTCATGGAGCACCCTGTAAATCTGGAGGACCCGTAGGGAAATGCAGCCAGCACTAAGGACTTGTTGGTTCAGTGACTCCAGCTCCCTCCAATCCTCCCCCCTCCCCTTCCTGCACCTCCCAGTGCCACGAGGCTATTCCTCCTCCACCACCAATAATCAGTGGCCCCAAAACTTCAGAGACTGGTCTAGCAGAGCTTGGGTACCATTTAAAAAGACCAGCACATCTAAAGACTTCTGATTTACAAAAGAATCACCCCTTTTAACAAACTAGCATTTTTTAAACTTCCATCTGGAGAACGGGGTTGAGGAAGAATCAGCCACAGAGACATTTTTAATGTCTGGTTCAGTTTCGTGGCTGTGGGAACTGTTTCCAGCTTGGTCTACGTGCAAAGGAGCAAGGCAATGGAAAGAGGGGAGGAAGGGTTACTCCTGGGCAGGGTGCAAGGTCTCCAGCTGACCTCTGAGCCTTACACCACAGAGTCACATATTCTGTCTGTCTGTCTCTCTCTCCTCCCCCCTCCTGCCCATCACGTGACCTCTGGCTGGTCTCTGTCCTTGAACCGGCCTGGACCCGGCAGGATTGCCATCCCTCCACAGCCGGACAGTTCAGAAACCTCTAATTGAACCATCTTGTGGATGAGCTTGGAGAACAGATTCTTTCCAATAGTAGGAGATCGCTTGCTTGGGTCCCAGCCCAGAGCCAGGCAGCCGCCACTGTGTACAGTTTGGCTTTGCAGCTCAACCAGCAGCAGTTCACTGGCTGTGATGGCCAGAGGGCCTTTGCAACTAACACTAAGGAGTGTGAAGTGAAAGGAGACTTTAAGACCGGCAAGCAGTAACAAATATGAGCTTTTGAAAATATTTCCTAACCCCACATCACACCGTTTCCTTCCTGGAGGATCTTTATTTGAAAGAGCAAGCCAGAAAAATCCATGAGATAACCCATGGCGTCTCCTGGACTCAGAGACTCAGCCCTGGGCATCCTCTCCTCAAAGACTGAGGAATCCAGCCCTCATTCTTGTTCTGGATCAAATGCCTCTGCGGTGGAGGGTCCACATCCAAGTGACCTCTAGAACCAGTTAAGACCAAGTCGGAGATCACAGTGGTACTGAACTTCAAAATGGATATGATTCCTGAACTTTAAACTTCTTCCCTCATTTCTGCTACCCCAAGTCTTCTGTCTATGAAACCTCCACAATCGAGGATTTGTCATTTAAAAAGATGCCTTGGTCTTTCCCATCTGCCTCTTTTCTCCTGTCTAGACTTCACAGCAGTGTTTTCCTGCCATCTGTCCTTTGTTGGGCTCCTGGGCCATAGTGTTACCCAATATCAGCTATCCAGAGTATAGTAATGTGATGAAGTAATGTGATGAGGAGATAGGAAAATGCAAAGAAAGTCCTCATCTTGAGTCAGTTCCTTGGAGAGCTGGGGAGCAAGAGAAATACAGAAACAATGTGTATATTTGGATTCTTTTGTTGTTACTTTCATCAGTGCTCTCTAGAAGACTGTCTTAATTGTCCTCTAGATTCCAATGGATCCATATAATTTGAGGTTCCTTATTGCCATAGGCTTCTAGGCTGCCAGCAGATCCCCAGCACTTCCAACATTGCCCACATGCTAGCACCGTGAGGAGCCGTCATTTACCCTGGGATGTTTCACCTATGGAGCTGGAGACCCTTCATGCCTGTGTATTTGCCACAGTGAATGATGCTTCAATGGAGCAGAGCCGTCAGAACTTAAAAGTTTGTGGGTTTAATGAGAGGTGGGCTTAGCCATCTCTGGACTCTGCTGAGCTCCCCAGCTTTCCAGAGCATGGAGTTTTAAACATACCCCAAGCTGCCAGATCAGCCTCACCATTCTGGGTTTTGATCTTGAAGAAACAAGGAAGAAGGGCATGACTACTACAGAGGGAATTTTTAAATAATAATAATAATAACCACTATTATTATTCTCTGATGTGATAGACGGTCTTGTGAAACGTAGCTTTGGGGAACCCGGTACCATGGGGACTTATAGCAATAGCTAAGGTTTAGAAGAAGAAACTGGAATATGATTAGTAAACACTTTGGGCAGAAGAGAGCTGAATTCGTATTGACTTAGTTATAGGTCATTGGCTGGCGGTGCAATGGGAGGAAATATTTACTTTACACATATACTTTATGATCTTGGGGGAATTAGAGGAAATTCAATAAGAAAACGGCTAGAAACATTTAAAACCCTTATTTAAAAGACTTAAGCAAATTAGAGTCTTATCAGATTAAAAACCACTACAAATGTAAGTGCATTGTCTTCGGCGAAATGTGTGGGGTCTGGTAAGGAGATTGTGTGCCAAATCTCAGGGATAAAATGCGTCATTTAAGCAGCAGATAATGAGCAGAATGTAAATTAATTTAACCTTCTTTACCAATAGGCTGCTGGTGTAATATGTATAATTTAGTGATAAGATTGCAGGACCTAATATAGCTGAATGTATCAGCCTCAGTTAATACGGACCTGTCACACAGGGACAAACTGTGCCTGAGCAGGGGTGTGTGTGTGTGTGTGTGTGTGTGTGTGTGTGTGTGTGTGTGTGTGTGTGTTGGCAGAGGGATGGAATAGACATGGAATAGAGTAAAGCAGAATACAAGGTTAAACCCCAAAATGCCAATTGAAAGTTTATTAGGAGGAAAGTTCTCCCTTGCAGTTAAATTCTTCTTAAAGTGACAAGATGCTCGCGAAGAGAGTGAAAATCAATTCTCTTTCGGTTCCTGGGACTGCTCTCAAGTGAGAGGAGCTACAGACAGAGTTTTGGGTGAGCAGGGCCAAGGGGCGGGGGGCGGGGGTGCTGGGGGGTAGGACACACGCACGTAGGTTACAGGCGTATTTGGAATCTGCTCCACCCATGCAGGCAGGGTAAATTTCCCAATCTCCTGAACAAGGACAAGGAGGGAGTTTTCTAAAGGCACCTCATCCTGGTGTTGCAAATCATTGACTGTAATGTCAAACAAATACACATTCAGGGGTGATAACACTAACTCCACAATAAAACAATCGCCAAGGCAGGAACCCGGGGGGAGATTAGCTGGTGCCCTCTCAGGCGACCTAAACTGGGGGACAACGGATCAAACTGTACAAAACTTATTTTGAATATGCTTGGCTTTCTGTCTTTATTTTCTTTGGAAATCAGATGCCCTGTCAAGAGCCCATGCCCCCAAAGGTGGTTTCACCTTGTTGCTGCTGCTGCTGTTGTTTCTCTGTCCAGGAGTAAGGCTTTGCTTTTCCCAGTTGGGTACTCAACTGAGTTTCCCCCCGTAGCCCACAACCTCCCGCCTTAGCCTGCTTGGACTGCTAACGATTCAAGACAGCCTTGAGCTCCCTAGGAAAAGAAAATGACTGTTAAAAATTATCCTTGAAATTGGTGATTTGGCCACATTCTTAATTGTATGGAAATTCATTAAGGCATATTTTATATATAATTAGCTCAAGGTTGTTGATTCTGAAGGCTTTACGGATTTGAATCTGATTGATAATAAAGTAAACAGGAGAGTCGGATTTAAAGCGTGGCTCTCTCGGGTTAGAACAAGCTTAATACGGTGTATAAGGAATTTTAAAGATCCAGGATATGTCTTCATCAACGCTAAGTAGAATGGATAAGCTTTCAGCATTTTGAAAACGCTGGGTTAGGGTTTCTATTCTATTGTGTGTTTTCTGTCTGGGGACTAATAAGCATTACAGAAGACGTGATCTGAAGCGACTTTTATTCTTGTATAAATCCTGAGTGAACCACCAAGCAGTTGTTCGTTTAAAGTCAAGGTAATTTTCTTTTGACGGGTCCGTTTGCTTCTTGATTTCTAATTTATTAGTCTGCTTTTTCGGAGCTCTATTTTGCAATTAAAGTAAAACTTTTTTTTTTTCACAATAGCGCAGCATTCAGTTAACAGACTGGAAAATTTTAGATCGGAGAGGTGATTTTTTTTTCCCCCCCCTTCATTCTCTAGTTTTAAATAGTCGGTTTTCTGTAGGTAAGGGGCAAGGAAGGGGGCGGGGCTCTGGATGCAGTGAGACAAAAGGGGGTGATGGGGTGCACTGTTGAGTTTTGCTCCTTTCAACCCTCGACCTCTCCGCTCCCTTCTTCTGCTGGCTTCTCCTTGCCTCAGCTCTCTCCCTCGCTTCTGAATTCCAAACCGGATCACCTTTGGTTGGGCAGGAGCAGAATTCCCAGGAGCGGGCCCCGCGTAGACCCGGTGGGCACCGCGAGCAATTAGGCCGGCCCCTCTCTGCTGATAGGCGCAGCTGGACCAGTCCCTCCGCCGCGGCTGCAGGCCTGCTGATTGGTGCGCGGGCGTGTCACTCGCGCGCGGCGAAGGGTCTGGGAGGAGGTGGAGGCGGAGAGGGCTGGGGAGGGCCGCGGCCGAGTGACGTCTCGGCACCAGGAAGCCCGCCTCTGGTTTTAAGATGTTAGGCCCACTGGGAAGCGTGGAGCCACAGATCTGGTCCGTCGATCGCCTGGGTGCCTGGAGCTGAGCTGCGGCGAGGCCCGGCTCCCGCTCGACGGCCGAGAGGGTGTGCGTGTGCGTCGGGCGCAGGGTGCGCTCCGAGGCCCGCGTCGCCGCCACCGCTGCCGCCGCTGCGGCTGCTGCCGCCGGCGCGGGGAATCTAATATCAGCTACCTGTCCCTGTCACTCTTGACACTTCGCCGTCAGGGCTGCGCGCGGGGGGCGGGCAGAGCGCGACCGGCGTTAGCTGTCCTTATTGGAGGGGTACTTGGGGAGGGAGGGAGGGGAGAAGGGGTCTCTACCCACTCTGGTTTCGCTTCGGCGCTTGGAAGCCTGCTCCCTAAAGACGCTCCGAACGGTACCCTCCTGCCTACATCCCGACCCCCCACCCCGACCCCATGTCTCCGTTCGCCCGCTGACTTTTCGGCTGCCGCCGGACTCTCTCGCTTGAGCCTTCCGGAGGAGACGGGGGCGGCTTGGCTCCAGGACTCTGCGGGGGTTGCGTCCCCTGACTCTGCTCGCTGCAGCCACAAGCCACAACCAGAGCCGGGAATCTCCGCGCCTAGAGCGCGCGGGACCCAGAGCCGTCAGCGGCGGCCACGGGGCACTCAGCCGGGCGGTAGCCCAGGACTCGTTAGGGCAGCGCGCTCCGTCGTCCATGAACTGCATGAAAGGCCCGCTGCCCTTGGAGCACCGAGCAGCGGGGACCAAGCTGTCGGCCGCCGCCGCCTCCTCTTCCTCCTCCTGTCACCATCCCCCGTCGTCAGCCATGGCTTCGGTCCTGGCTCCTGGTCAACCCCGCTCCCTGGACGCCTCCAAGCACAGGCTGGAGGTGCACACCATCTCCGACACCTCCAGCCCCGAGGCCGCAGGTAAGGCGCCGCGCCGCCCCGCGGACGGTCGGGCTCAGCCGCCCGGCGCCACCTGGCCTCTCGGGCCCCGGAGGCAGTCGGCAACTCCTGGGGGTAGGCGTGGTGGGAGTGGTCGTGCCGCCTGCCCTCCACAGAACTTCCGGGAACCGGGATTCTGCGGACCCCCGGGTCCTTTTTCATTCTCCTTGGATCGGCCTGGTTACTGTGGCGCGTCAGGGCTGGTTACTGAGGGGCAAAGAGAGAGCTTTTCCACCTCTGCCTCCTCCCCTCTCCCCTTGCCTCCCTTCTGTTTCCTGGGTCACACTAACCCAGCATCTCTATTCGAGCGCGGTCGGAGGCCGCCCCACTTCTGCCCCGGCTCAGTCGTCGGATTTTAGCTCCTGGGGAGCTCCGCTACTAAGAAGAGTTATTTGTAAAACTACTTAGAAACGCTCTCCGAACACAGGCTCAACCCCCCCCCCCCAAACATCTAAGGAACTGGCTAGTTTGGGAGAATCCCAAACATCTACTTTTCCCAGCCTTCCGAAACCACATGGAAATCTGAGCTGGCAACGAGGGGGGTCTGCAGCGCGTGTGCGCGTCCCGGGAGATTTGGTGTCTGCTCAGGGGTGTATAAATACACTTGAAAGCGCAGGCCGTAAAAATGAATGTGCCGCCGCAGAGCGATAAACATGTAAATAAAACGCGCGGCGTTGGGGGAGGGGAGGAGATGGGGCGCACACACCCACTCTTCCTTCTGCACACCCCACACGCGCACGCCATCGTCCCGCGCCCCGCCGCCGCCACCGGGACGGGTTGGACTTGGCGAGTTTCAGGGGGCGCGCTGATGGGAATCTTGGTATGTTGTTTCATTTTCAGACAAAGATAAGAGCCAACAAGGGAAGAATGAGGACGTGGGAGCGGAAGACCCGTCCAAGAAGAAGCGGCAACGGCGGCAGAGGACTCACTTCACCAGCCAGCAGCTGCAGGAGCTGGAGGCCACTTTCCAGAGAAACCGCTACCCGGACATGTCCACGCGCGAGGAGATCGCCGTGTGGACCAACCTGACCGAAGCCCGAGTCCGGGTAGGAGCCGATACTGAGCCTGGGGAGGGCTGATGGGAGAGCGTTGTGAAGGGAAGACCTGGAGGGCGCGGGAGGGAAGGCTGGAGGCCTCGCAGCGGCCAGGATTGCAAGATTACAGCTCCGCCTTCCGAGGCCGAGCTGCCGGCCGGGCTCAGGCGGCCCGAGATCCCGCGCCCTCCAGAGCCGGGCCGCGTGGGCATTCCGGCATTCCTCTGCAAAGGGCATTGTGTTCCCGGCTTGCCTCGCCTGACGATAGCTAATAAAAATCCTTTCTAGGCCTGGAGCTTCCAACAGGCTCCAACCTGCGCGCTTTTAACTTGGAAAACCCGCCAGAGACACCAGAGGCTAGCCTTCCCTGGAAACGTTCACGCCCGACCAGGGGTAGTTTGGGGAGCCCATTTCTTTTTGGCTCAAACTCCTTCCACATCTGTGAGTTTGTGTCCTCCCCCCAACTCACACACATATTAAGTCTCCCCCATCCCCTTTCTCCTAATTTTGTGATCGCTGGATGCAACATTTTCATACCCAACTACTATCCTTCTAGCTATCTGGAAAGGAAAAGGAGAAAAAGATTTTTTGGTTTGGTTTATTTATCTTCTCTTAGCAGTTGAACTCGTTGGAGACTGATACGTGCACCCCTCCTTCTAATAATAATAAGTTTTATAAAAAGAGCTTACCTTAACTTTGCAGCAAATCTGTACTTTATGAATTGGCAAAAAAAGAAAAAGAAAAATAGATTTAATAAATTACCCCATAGTAACATGATAATTTATGTTCGTCCGTGGAAAATTCCCAAATTTGTTAGGATTCTGGGAGCGGAAAGGAGAACCAAGCAGCATCCAGAGGCTTTACTGTTTAAAGTTCTCTCGGTGGAACTCTGAAGCCCCCAGTTAGAGTTGAAGAATTTAAAAAAGGAAAAATTAGACAACGACGGGCTATGAAGAGGAAGTGCGCTTCCAAAGCAGGAGGACCCAACTCGGAGTGGCGCGGGTGTAGCGCAGGGGGGCTGCGCAGCTGGATAAAATAACCACATGGACGGTGGAAATGGTTTTAGTTTAACTGCCCAGAGCGGTTGCTGGGGCCAGGACCGGGTGGCTTTTCGCTAGGTCAGTCGTTCAGGTTCCTTGTGGAGCGGCGGAGGAACGGGCCTTGCACGTACTCTCCTGGCCTGGGCAAAGTTTAGACAGCCTAGGGTGCAAATGGCAAGCAATGAAAATAGAAATGCAATCTGTGGGTTCCCAGAAATGCCTTATTAATGCCCATCCATCCCACCCGCATTTCTACAGTCCTCCCCCACCTCCCACCCTTCTCCAGCGTCTCTACAGCCGCCTCCGTCGCCGCCGCGCTCGGCTCTCATCCCTCCAGCTGCCTCCTTCCAGGCTGCTGCTCGCCCAGCCAAGAGCCGAGCGAGGCGTGCTTTTTATAGCAATCGGGTGCAAAGAGGAAGGGGGATAAAAAGGAAATCGAGAATGAAAGGAAAAAAGGAGAAAAAAAAAAAAAGCGGATTAGGCGGCTGGGGCCGGCGGAGATGTGTAATGTGAAACATCACCCGTGTCAGCTAGGGAGATCTCGGGCCAGGCCCTGCCCCAATACACAAAAGCCGGCGTCTGGGGCGACCAGCGGGCCCCCGTTGTGGATTGGGAGCGGGGTTGCGGCGGGGCCACCGGACGCGGGTGGGGGCTTGGCTGGCTCGGGCGGCCCCTCTTGAAGCCAAAGCAGAGGCCAGAGCCCTGCGCAGAGCTGAGGCCAGTCGCGGCGGCGGCGTGGCCCGGGCTGGGCTGAGGCGGATGAGATGGAGCAGTGGAGGGCTGAGTGGAGTGTGGAGGGGAGGGGGAGCGGAGAGAGCAAACCGAGTGATTCCGGGGCACCCGCAGCTTTACACGCTCAGCTCCTGGGGTTTAACGAGCTGACGAGGGGGTGGTCTTTTGCTTTTTATTTGGTTGTTTTTCCAGGCGAGAGTCGCAGTGTCCTGATAGAGGGGATCATGTTCCAGGGGCTGGGGGTGACGGTGGGGGACAACAGTGGAGGTCCAGAAGGGGGGGGAAGAACTGTGTGGGGGAGAGCCTCCTGCTGCCCTCTCAGCCCCGTGTTCTCGCCACCGAGTCTGTGGCTTTTGGGCTGGACGCAAGTCTACTAGGGAGCGCGCGGAAGGGTTGGGCGGAAAGGCGGCTGCCCCCTAGTTTATTTTACAAAGTGGTTTTTGGACCTGAAGGAGGGCCTGGGTTAGTGATCAAGCGGCCCGCAGGCCACCAGGCGTCCGACTGGGGTTTGTGGCGCAGCTGGGAGCCCAGGCTCGCAGGGCCGGCCTCTGCGCGCCCTTGGCGGAGTGCGCAGGACTGGGCGAGCGAGTGCTGGCCCGGGCACGGAGGAATGGGGCTGCGAGCGAGAGTGTGCACCCGTGAGTTAAGAGGTGATTTTGCGCGATCCAGGTTTTTACTAATCCACGCTGTGGCATCTGTTTGCTTCCTTGTCCCCTTCCCCAACCTCGGCCCTTCCACCGCCCTCTCCGCACCCACCTCCATCCCCCCAGGTTTGGTTCAAGAATCGCCGGGCCAAATGGAGAAAGCGAGAGCGCAACCAGCAGGCCGAGTTGTGCAAGAATGGCTTTGGGCCGCAGTTCAACGGGCTGATGCAGCCCTACGACGACGTGTACCCGGGCTATTCCTACAACAACTGGGCTGCCAAGGGCCTCACGTCGGCCTCCTTGTCCACCAAGAGTTTCCCCTTCTTCAACTCCATGAACGTCAACCCCTTGTCGTCGCAGAGCATGTTCTCCCCGCCCAACTCCATCTCGTCCATGAGTATGTCGTCCAGCATGGTGCCCTCGGCCGTGACGGGAGTCCCTGGCTCCAGCCTCAACAGCCTGAATAACTTGAACAACCTGAGCAGCCCGTCGTTGAATTCCGCCGTGCCGACACCCGCCTGTCCGTATGCACCACCGACTCCCCCGTACGTTTACAGGGACACGTGTAACTCGAGCCTGGCCAGCCTCAGACTGAAAGCTAAGCAGCACTCCAGCTTCGGCTATGCCAGCGTGCAGAACCCGGGGTCCAACCTGAGCGCTTGCCAGTACGCAGTGGACCGGCCCGTGTGAGCCGCGCCCCCAGCGCCGGGATTCTAGGACCGCGCCGGATGGGGGCGACTCCGCCCTTGAAAGACTGGGAATTATGCTAGAAGGTCGTGGGCACTAAAGAAAGGGAGAGAGAGAAAGATGTAATGAGCAAAGGAAACCACTGAGTTAGAGAGAGAGCGCTCCTTTGACTTCAAAGGGATGTCTCTATGTGTGACATCTTTCATTACAAGTATTTCCAACAGTTGCAAGGACACCACACACACACACACACACACACACACGCAAGTGTCTGACTGGATATGACATTTTAACATTACTATAAGCTTGTTATTTTTTAAGTTTAGCATTGTTAACATTAAAATGACTGAAAGGATGTATATATATCGAAATGTCAAATTAATTTTATAAAAGCAGTTGTTAGTAATATCACAACAGTGTTTTTAAAGGTTAGGCTTTAAAATAAAGCATGTTATACAGAAGCGATTAGGATTTTTTTTTCGCTTGCGAGCAAGGGAATGTATATACTAAATGCCACACTGTATGTTTCTAACATATTATTATTATAAAAAAATGTGTGAATATCAGTTTTAGAATAGTTCCTCTGGTGGATGCAGTAATGTTTCTGAAACTGCTATGTACAACCTACCCTGTGTATAACATTTCGTACAATATTATTGTTTTACTTTTCAGCAAATATGAAAAAAAGTGTTTTATTTCATGGGAGTAAAATATACTGCCTACGAATCGGCCTGGATTCTTTCTACGCTGCTCTACCTGGACAGGGTGTCTCAGTCACTGCCTCCTAAGGAAACCCCTTCCCTCTGCCTGCCTTCTTAAACATACAAGGCAGCACCGCTCAGTTAAGTTTGATAGAAATAAATTATAGCCATTCATCAAGAAAAGAAAAAAAAAAAAGATGCTCCCCAGGGAGGGGAAAAAAATGGATTCAAAGTCTGGTCTTGTCTTTCAAATTTTTCTTTGGCTTACACCCAGTGGATTCCATTATTGCCAGTAAATAATATAAGGGAGAAAGAAGAAAGGAGAAAGAGATTTAGTAAATACTGCTAGTTTGGAATGGCTCTCAGGTTTACTCCTGGAGGGGTGGGGGGTGGATCTGTGCTTCCAGTAAATTCTTCAGGAGAAGCTTGTGTGGTGTGCAGGTATAAGTCTAGCATTAATATACATTCCTCTCACAAGGAATACATCCATCATAAATTTACCAGGAAACGCCTCCAGTTCAAAATATTTAGGCCTCCACGTTTATCTTTCCGACTTAAGTAGAGAGATCCTTCATGTTCTATTGCGTTACTATTTCCAAATCCTTTGGAGACATTAAAAGAAACAAAGACCATTTCTAATAACCAGGGCCCTTTAGTTTCTCAAAGAGTCCAGGGGTTGAGAGGTTAGAGTGGAGTTTCCTGAGTCTTGTCGAGCAATATGTAGTTGAGGCAAAGGTCGTGCTCCCCGTGTTTTGTTTTAAATAATATTGACCCATTAATTCTAAACCTGCTTGTTCCTGAAATTATACAGGATTATAGTTTGCAAACTGCAGGACAATGAAGCAAATCAAGATGAATTACAGCCTAGGCCCTCCCTCCCATCCTCTGACATCTAATCGGGAAAGAGGTCGGGGTGAAAGGGTTTTTTTTTTTTTCTTCCTTTTTTTTTTTAAACTTCCAGCAACGCCCGCTCACTTTGCTTTGATAGGTGATTTTCCGCTCTTAAAAAGAAATTAGTGAAATTTGATTTTGGGGCAAATAGTAGCAAATGTGAGGTGGTTCCAAAGAATCCCTCCGCTTCGCCCTCGCAGGATGGGGGGCGGGGTGGGTGGGTGCCGAAGTCCTTTGTTATTCTTGCCATCTCCACCCCCAACCCCCAGTGGGCCAGGACAAACACGACGCGGGAGAAGGGCGAGCTCTGAACAGCCGCGGGTTTTCGGGAGCCGAGAAAAACCGTGTTTTTGCGCTGAGGTGGCTCTTATCTCGCTGAAACGTTACCTAGAAGCTTGTGGAAAGCTCAGACACTGAGTCTTTGTTCTGCGAGGCACTCACGGAGATGGAAGATAATGTCCCCCGATTTAAGATCAGCCCTCAGCGCACATTAACTTTGCTTTCTTTCTTTTCAAAGCTCCTGCCTCCAACGGGCGGCGGGATCACGCGGCGCTGGGGTCAGATAAAAGCCCTTTGGACGAGGGTCACCTCCGTCCTTGTTGTTCACTTGAGAGCAGTGGAGAGGAAAACGGTCCCCACGGGCGGACTTTGGCTTCTGGAGCCCCCGGGGGCCCAGCGGTCAGGGCCTCCCCAGCGCCTTCGCCGGACCCCGGGGGGGGGAGGGGAGGAAGGATGGGGAAGGGTCTGAGAATGGGGGAGGGCAGGAGCTGAGCGAGTGGATTTGGGGCTGGGGGCTGGAGGGAAGCGTGGACCAAACTGCCGTCAGAATTTGCGTCTCCTGCAGGACGGACCGGGAGTGACTTGCGAGCTCTGGGTGCTGGAGGTGGATCTCGGCCTACTTTGCGCAGGCAGAACTCGACGCGAGCAAACCCATCCATCTGCAGGAAACAAAAACATAAACAAACAAATAAAAAGCCAACAACAACAACAACAAAAAGAAAGATAGAAATGGAGGTCCAGGTTTGGGACGCTTTGTCACTTCCCCGACTTGAGTGGCACAGGCTGGGGGGCGGGGACTTGGGACGGAAGATAAGGCAAGCACCTCGGCTCCTTGCCTTGCACCTCCAAGGGGGAAGAATTGCACCCTCTTCTGCCTCTGCCTCCACTGCCCACCCCGCACGCCTGCCGGCCGGCGTCTCTGCGCCTCTGCGCACCTCCTACTCGGTTCGCTGTGAGCCGGAGGAGCTCGGTGCGCGTCACCGGGTGCAATCGGTCGCTTCGCCCCTCCCGCGCCCGGGGAGCCTGGGCCCCCACCCACTACGGCTCCAGGCACCACCTCGGTTCCACTCAATCGATTTTTTGCTGCATGTCAACACTTATTACCGGTGAGTGTGAGGGTATTTTTTTTCTTCTTCTCTAGGTCTCTTAATGATTTCTGAACTAGTTGTCTATTAAAGCGCTTAAAGCAGCCTTTACCATAATCTATAGCATGAACACCAACATCCACCCCTCCCAGGCCCCCACCTCGCTTGGGTTCCAAAATGGCGAGGTTGGAGGTCAGGCTTGAGCAGTCCAGGCCCCCTTGGCCTCAGCCCACCGCCACCCACCTCCCCTGGTGCGCGGAGCTTGGCTGACCTGGAGCAGGAGCCCCGAGCACCCCATCTTCGGCCTGAGGCCTTCGCTTTTCCTCCCTGCCAGCCCTCCTACCTGTTGGGTGCATCTTTTCTTCCCCCTGAGTGCCCCTGGCCAATCCTTGGATTTTTATTTCACTTTTTCAAAGCTTGAAAACTTTTCCAAGCCCACACACTGTTCATCCCCCGCCCCATGTCCAATGCAGATTGGCACAGACCTGGAGAAAGAGGTAGGCAGTCCACCTCGACTGCCTCCCACTCCCCAAACCTGAGTCTTAGTATCTGTAACTTAGTATAAAATGCTAATAATTTATTATTATTAAAAAGAAAAGGGGAAGCCGGCGCAGTCTGCTGAGAGAAGGAACCCGCTTTGCCTGTTGACCTGCCCTTTCTCTCACCCCACCCTCTTCCTACGAGGTGCTGACACCCGGGAGTTGTTTGGGGGGTTGTAGCGACAACAAAATCAGTGGGAAAAATACCGAACCGCGTCTTTCCAAACACACACACAAATCCTGATATTCCTAGAAAGTCCCATAAATTAACCCTAGGAGGAGCGACGGAACCCTTTCAAGGCGAGTCTATAAAAATCTAGCGCGCTCTCTGCAAAGGAAAGCCCTTCCCCCCACTCTCCACCCCCAGCCCCCAGAGCGGAGGGCACCAAACAAAGATCTGTCCTGCAATCCACATTCTAATCCACGGGCGCCCTGGCCGCCGTCGCCCGGCCCGGCTCGCGCGCCAGGAGCCGCCCGCCCGCGAGCTGCAGCCGGCTGCTGGCTGGCGCTGGGAGGCCCCGGCTGGCCCTGTAACTTTTTCACAGAAGTGGGTAGGGGAGGCAGGGGATGTAATCAGATCAGAGCCTTTATGAATATAGACTCCCTAGTGATTGATTTATAAACCCCTCGGCGATCTGCACTTAATCCAAACACACCGAGGCAAGGAAGGTAGCTGACCAAGGGGCGGACAGGTCTCCAAACGAACACGAGAAATTTCTGGTAACAGACTTTTCTGAAGAAATTTTAAGATATAGTTCTCTCCCATGTCCTTCCCCCTCCCCCCAGCCTTCCTCCCCACCCCCCCCCACAACTGAATTTTTAACTGAACTTGAGAAAATGGTAATTCAAGATGAGGCTTTGAACAATGGATTAAGTGGAAACAATGACTACCAAAGTATATCCTTCTGAGTTTCAGCAGATGAAATTGGGAAATTTTACTCATCTTGCAAGTTTATCACACTTGCCTCCTCTCTTTTTTTCCCTTCCCCCTCCCCACTCCAGGCAAGATAGAAGCTAGAATGTTATGTTTGGGGGTGCACTTCTGCGTTTCTGTGCCTAGTTATTTTATGCATTTTGTGTAAATGTTGACTTTAGATTTTGTTTGAAGATTGGGAAAGTCTTGCAAGAGACGCAATATTTCATTGAAGATATATGAGCATTTAATTCTCCTCAATTACCTTTTAAAACGTCTTTGCTACTCCTTTTGGAAACTGCTGTTAACAGTGGAGTGGCAGTTGGGGAAAGCAGGCGATAACTTGAAGCTTACGTTACCCAGCAGAAGAATGGCTGAAAGAATCACCTAAATTCCTCGTAATTTAAAAAACTGTCTTTAGAGCATTTAACGGCTGTATGGTAAAGTGTTTCCTTATGGGTGGTGGGTTGAGACGGACTGCAATTTCTTTCTTTTTCTTTCCCCGCCCCTTACTTTGCAGAGGTCCTGCCTGAGAGGGGTGTGTGTCTGTGTCCTGTGACTTGGACCTTTTAATACCTAGTTCTCCTAGTCTTCGGGGGGGGAGTTTAAAGCATTCCCCACCCCGCCCGGACTACTTTTTTTTCTCCCGCAATCTCTTCTCTTGTTTTCTTTGTCCGCGTCCTGTGCTGTTTTGTACTTTATTCTAGCAACTTAAAAAATGGCTCTCAGATGGCTACAACCTGCGACCAAGGGAAAGGCGGGAGGCGGTTTCCTAAGAGCCGGGGGTTTGGGGGACAAAACCGAGCCACGCCCCTCCCTCCTGCAGTTCTCGGCAGCCCGGGGAGCCTGCTCACCAAGTCCTGAGAGGGATTGGATGCTGGTGCTCAGGGAAGATAAGATGCAGAACCGTCCCTGCGTGTCCCCAGGAAAGCGGTGAGACAGGCTGCAGTTCTAAGGCGCTCTCCCCTGCTCTGTGTCAACAACCCACGGCCAAGTCAGCTTCCCTGGCCAGGTGTCGCGCCTGGCCAGGTGTCGCGTGGTGGTGACTGCAAACCAGTCGAATCTGCACAGCGGTCATTTTCTGCCCCATGCGGAGGCCCTAGCAGGGTTCTCCCAGGCCTGGTTGCACCTGGCCATCTGCATTGGGTTGCTCCGCGACAGCTTAGGAGAGAGAGAGAGAGAGAGAGAGAGAGAGAGAGAGAGAGAGAGAGAGAGAGAGAGAGACCCTGCAGGCCGTCATTCGGCGCTAAGGAAGGGGCTTTTCCTGTCAGAACGCAAGGTTGCAGACCACACATCACTTTGTCAGAAAATAAAA